CGCATGGAAGCACAATTGCCGACAAGGAAACTTTGTTTTGAGGCACCAGCCACTCTCAGGGCAGAATTCTCTCACGACAGGCCCCAGATGACCAGCGGCCCACAAGCGCCCTGCACAGTAGCTTGGCCCCGCCGACAGGGCAGCGCTTTTACCTGCCTTCAGTAGGCAAGCCCATAGGTGGTAGCTGGGCTTGCTGGGCAATACTGAAGTGAGGTGGGACGCGGCAGGGGCAGTGATGTGGGAAGATCTTGTTACCCAGAGTCAGGCACTTAGGTAAGGGAGGTACATGTACCTGGGTGCGTGCATTGCATAGCTCCTTCCCCAGTCCGTCTGTTGTCTGGCGTGGTTTGATGATGCAGGTGCATGTGCACCACACACACCCGCGGTTGTCCGAATTATCTGCATAGCCGCCGATGCCACAGCGCGACACAGTCGAGCGTCCTTGGGTGCCATCATCACAAGTTCCCTCCCGAAACACCCAGGTCGGAGTTTTATCCATACGCGGCAACGCCTCGTGCCCAGAACCTGAGCTATCACACATCCTCACATGCGATACAGCGCCTCAGACGATGTTCCTCGTTACACTTCCCGATACTTACAACTTCGGCGCTTTCATCCTCTCTTGTTGGTGGGGCTGCTGCCTCCTGCGCCCCTCAACAGATCACCGTATCAGATCAACACCTTGCATCGGGACAATTGTGTTGCATCATCATAGCCTTGTGCTCTACGCTACGTGCGCTGTGCACCATTCTACTTGGCTCGTCAGTTAATAGAACTATCATTCATCAGAACTCATCCGATTCGCGGGCACCGATCATACGTCCACGGCCTTCCCTGGTTCCCTGGTTTCCTCCATCAATAGCCAAGCTGAGAACAATAGTATGATCCCTGTCAGCTTTTGCCAGACATCCATCTCCATTGTCAGGCTGGTCCTCTATCATCGTGCTATGCATCTTTTGGCATCCGGTAACTTTGACTATCACTCTTTCACTGCCTTTGCCTATGCCGCTCGGGCCCCCTCCCCACGCGCGCCCGCCTCGCTGTTCCAGGTTCCGACTATCTCTCATCTGGCCACTTTGGGCGGGGGTAAAGGTCCATCTGCGACGGCACAGCTTTGTGTACGCCTCCTGTTCGGTGCTAACACGGATAACCGACTGGCAGACCGAGCGAAGTACACTCTGGTGCCTGCGAGTCAACCCGCACAACGAGAGTTCAGATGTCATGCTAGGCGACTTATAGGAAGATGCAAGTCCCTTGCTACCAGCCTGCAAGTGGATATCAGACGTGAACGTCGGTAATCCGTCAACGATGCGAAAGAATACCTTCGATCAATGAGAGGTAAAGAGCAGATCAGAAGCCAGTGCCTGTCACTATTTGATGGCTGCCTCACAACCTTCTGTTGGTGGTATTCACTTGGGGCTTCCAGTGGCATTCACCTATTGCCAGGTGGCCTGTGCCCTGGCACCTCCCATAGCTTAGTTCCAGGCACCCTCCTGCCCTAGAGAATAGCTTCCCAATACACACCTTTCTTCTCAGACCCTTGACCTCCAACACCTTCCACTCAAGATATACGTACCGGGCAACCGGTTGTGTTGATTGGTTTGCCTGGGAACACCCAACGTGACGGAGATGACATTCTTCATCGGAGGTTTCTCCGGCGCCCCTACGCCTTCTTTCGGACTTGTTTGGGTTACTATTTGAGGAATGAGGACCAAGTCTAGAAGGATCACAAAGTCAGACGACGCAGCTCTTGCCACCTTGTCAGAACATTGCGTTACGGTTATCGGCTCCGGAGGGTAATCATCTGAGTGCGCCAAGGAAGTCCGCCTCGCCCGTGCGCATGCAACATGGACACCGCGCCACGGCGGCGATTACATGCCGCGAGTGTTCCTCTAGCAGACACCTACAAGTCGTAAGAGACATGGCTAATGAATTATCGTTGGCTAAGCGCGTTCGCACGTAGCAGACACAGAAGAGCGAGAACTATGCATGTGACGAAATCTACCCAACCGGCGGACGGGTGAGCAGGGCACGTCGATGGCTTAAGCCACCAAGCCGCTTCCTTCAATACATTCTATCCATGTACCACGGTGACAGTATAGTTAATAGCAAGCGACCACCCCGTTGACACATCCCTGTGGATTTAATCCGTGCCGCACGCTGCTCCAAAGTATCCAGGCTGACGATCTTGGGTAACGAGTTCTATGATTCCCACTCCATGCCGTTTTCCTTAAAAGCACCAGAATACCACCATGGTTATGCCGTAGTACTGTTGGCAGTCCTCGTGCGCTTCTGTGGAGCGTAGGTGCACTATCCCCACGACTCTCAGTTCACGTTTGTGCTGAGACTCCCCTCGTTCGTCCTGACCACAAGCCAAAGATGGACGAGAAGACCTGCCACGGAACCGTAACAGCCCTCGGACCAGGATCACGGCCTGGATATGAGTATGGCCGGGACCAGGACTAGGCCTGGATATGAGGATGGGCCCAGCCCAAGACCGACCGCCGGGGCCGACATCTTCCCAGGTCAGGGGGGGAGATTGTACATGTAGCTGGGTACCCACTCTTCTCTAGCCACAGAGCCATGCGGAGGGTTGGTCGAAGCCTCAGGGCAGAATGGCTGCCCATGGTCCGACATCTCGCCTCCGCTCCCGCTTCTAGAGTTCTTCCTTTTGCCTCAGGTCGATCTCAGAAATGGATGATCCGTGCACCGAAGCCACCAATCTGGCAAAAGCCCCGGTAAGGTTGAGTCAACTTACCAACAGACTTCGGTCCATGTGAAGTCTCTCCTCCCTTCTTGAATTCCGTTTCATTGACCATGACAAGCTTTCAATCGTTGCCTTGTGATGACTCTCCCCGGGTCTAATTCCATGCGAAGGGCTAATTAGGTTGCCGCAAGAAAGAGCATGGCTCGTATGCTGTTGTGCGCCCGTAAGAAAACGTCACTGCCGAAGGGATTCTGTCAGGCGCCTAATTTAGAGACAATTACTTTTGGTCATCCAGACCTCTGCGGCCTGCTCAGCTGGCAGATGATAAACCCCTCGAATATATTGTGGTTTATCCTTGATGCTTTCCAGGGTTTACATGTACTCGTACACGAGGACGACGCCGCGATGGAAAACGTATACATGTAGTGATGTCTTGTTCATCTATCCATGAGTTCCAAGAGAGCAAGGCAGGGGAAGGGAACTCCACCTCAACCCCCCCCCCC